CAGAGTCCAGAATAAATGGCAGCACGTGGGAAATAATGGCTTTAGTTGCTGTGACGCGGAGCGGAGTGACCTGCACAGACACGTCAGTGTCAATGAGGGACTTTGCATTTAATTGCAATTCATCTGATCACTCTTTTTAACATTCTGTAGTTTATGCAAATTACCATAATAAAAACTGAGGCAGCAGAATTTGTGAAAACCAATATTTGCGTTATTCTCAAAACTTGTGGCCACGACTGTACATATGCAGACCTTGCATAAACATTTCAGTTTAACAACAATGGGAGAAATGTTTCCGGTCAGTTAAGTGAAAGTGAAACTTAAAAAATGTTCCACCTTCCAACTTTCTGTCTTTAGACGTGCCGTAACAGAATCTGTAACATGGCTGCTAAAACTTCATCTCTGGACGAGGAGCTCTGCTGTGCTGTTTGCTCTGACTTCTTCAAGGATCCTCTCGTCCTGAAGTGCAGCCACAGCTTCTGTCGAGTCTGTCTGCAGAAGTTCTGGAAAGAGAACAGCTGTCGGGAGTGTCCATTATGCCGGAGGAAGTCCTCTGTGGACGATCCCCCCGTCAACTTAGCCTTAAGGAACATTGTGGAGTCATATTTACAGCAAAAGAGAGTTAGAAAGGTGGCAGAGAAGAGTGAAGCTCCAGAGAAGAATGAGGCTCCAGAGAAGAGTGAATCTCGCTGCAGTCTTCATGGAGAGAAGCTTCTATTTTTCTGTGAAAATGACCAGGAATTCCTCTGTGTTGCTTGTAAAAATTCAAGACAACACAGAAACCACCAGCTCAGTCTAGTGGAAGAAGCCGCACAGGATAAGAAGGTATATTATCTTTTACTTAATTCTTTTTTTTCAAAGGAGAATATATTATAGAATTATATTTTTGGTAGTTTACTTTAGTGACCTTTCTGTTGGTGTTACTGGTGACTGAGAAGAAGGATTATGACTCACTGTCAGTTTTCTAAACACAGTGGGAGTTTATAAATATACAAAACACAGTTATCTGATAATTATCTATATGTTTATGTGCCACTGCGGGCATTAGCTGTGTATTAGTATTGTAGGCCACTGGGTGGAGCTGTTGTGACCTTCTGGGATATCTGTCCCAGCATGCTTTCCGGCTTGCATATTAGTTGTATCTTATTTAAGCAATAACATTTGAGTGTGGTTGTACCCCAATATATCACGGCTGAGATTCAGTTGTAAGCACAAGGCCACAGGCTAAGTGCCAAAGACAATCACACATCACTAATGGATGTATTTCTGCCAGTGTAATCTCACCATCCTGTCAGAACAATTTCTTTGACGTAAAAACTGGATGTTTTCACTTGTTCTCTTGAATGACTTCCATTATTGTGTCATTAGCCTTTTGAATAGAGCTATTTGCAAATGGGTGAGCGATCAAGATGGCTTTGTGACTCAGACACTCAAGCCAGTGACTCCTGTTCTTTTTATTCTCCTTACAAAGCTCTAAAAATATTTTTAGTTTCTACTTATAATTACTTAAAAATTAGATCAATCAGCTGAGAATCACGTATCCCTACTGTTGAGGCTCTGAAATTTAGTATTTTCTGCCCCAGAATTCAGTTTACCTCCTTGTTGCGTTTGTGTTTCTGTATTGGGTCTCGTTTTCTGCCTTTGTCCCTGTTTGTATTTAGTTCTGTACTGTTTTGTAATCCTTGCTCCATGTATCTGCTAGTGTTTGGTTAATTGTCAGTGACCCTTAGCTGTTCCTTGTGGTTACTTAGCTCTAATGTTTGCTTCATTGTAACAGCCCACATCTGTCCTTGTGTATATAAGCGCCTGGCGATGCCCATGTCGGTCGTCAGTGTTGTTGATGTAGGTCTGTGTGTTTGTAGTTAGTGTTTGATGCTTAATAACGTCTCTTGGCCGTCAGAATGCCAGTCTGTAGATGGTGACTCTTTTTAGGCACAACATCAATCACACGTTGATTGTATCTCTGATTATTCATCTGTATATTTTATCTCAGGAGGACCTTAGAGCTTCACTGACTCCATTAAAGGAAAAGCTGGAGAAGTTTACAAAAGTTAAACAAGAGTTTGAGAAAACAGCCAAACACAT